CCGAAACACCTTGCCTTGAAAACTGCAGGGACTCGTCCAGGCAGTCGCCGCAGAATCAGTACGATTGAGTGCGGGTTAAAAAAAAAAAAATGAGGTCAGTAGCTTAGAGATATGAAAGCCTGAAAAAAAAATGCGGAATTTTTTTTCCCTGTTTTTTCAAGGCCTATGTTGTCTTTTGTTTTCAAAAAATGGTAAAGTAGACTATGAAACTTATTTTTATTTTTAATATATAACATCATTAAGATGCTAAAAAATAGAGAAACTTGTCAAATGACAAATCTTTAGTTTCAGAAGTCCAAGTACGTGATGAAATGATAAATATATAGTATCAATAGAAGCATGAATTCTATACAACATTCAGCCTTAAAAATTAATATAGTCACTGTTTTACTATTAAGTCCCTTTCCTTTTCTGTTGTACATAAAATATATTGCATTTTTAATAGTTAAACTGATACTTTGAAAACAGTGATGTAAGTTGGGATAGGCAATATTTTTTTGGCTGACAGCTACAGTTGGCCATATGTGGCATGTAAGGGACAAAATAAAAAAAAGTGAACTAAGCCAGGATACAACCCCCCTCCTTCCCCAGTGCAATAGACAAATGTTGAAGTTTAAAATTTCTAACATAAAATGTGTTGCCTATTTGCAGTGAGACCTGCAGAGGGGCTCTTTGGTCTCTCTGTGGGCTCCTCCTTGGGGAAACATACAGCCTGTGGGTTGTCTCCTCCAGTGTAAGTTAACAGGAATTGCCATTTCTGGTAAATGTGTGTGTTTTCACTATACATTAATCTGACTCAGATGCCTCTTTTTAAAAATACGATTATTATCTGTATATATTTTTACAAATAAACTTTACACCACATATAAATATTGAAAATTCCAGATACCAATTTTAGTTCATTAACTCTTAAATAGACATACTTGTGTTATATAATTTTAAGGTCTGTTTAATATTATAGCTTAAATATTAGTCTATAATGGAAATGTTACATACATCTTTGAAACTGATTACCCGTTTCTTTTCTCTTCTGCAGTTTGTGTTTTGTATACACAAGGGATGGGAAATAAAGAATGGAGAGAGGTAATGTTATATATAGCAGTTGCTTATTGAATGCAGCCATCTACCCCAATCCTTTTATCTTAGCTTGTTGTTTGTTAATTTGCATAATAGCAATTTGCTTTTCTGTACCAATGTTTAACCAGAAGTAAACCCCCATTTGATTATTTTTAAATTGGTAGGTATAGGGAGACATCCCTAGAATAGTCAGTCAGTTAAATAATCTGTCAAACTGAAGCCTACATTGTTAAATGTGTAAGTTTTAAGATAGGTCAACTGCTCTTATTTAAAGTTCCAAAAAAATTAGTATCTGGCACAGGTGGTATGGAAATGGAAAGATTTTTATCCCACTTTTTATATATTTTTATTTTATTTTTATTGATTAATTGATTGATCAAAAAAGTGACTCTGGGCGGTATATAACACTCAATTAAAAAACCCATAAATACATATAAGATGATCATTAAAACCATAAAAACTATAAAACACACACAACAGGAGAGGAAGATGATAACTGTAGTAAGGGAGCCTTTGCAAAATCTCCCCAGTCCTCTGGAACCTCCAGGGCCTGATCACATAGCCAGGTCTTGAAGGACTTGCGGAATGTTAAGAGGGATGGGGCTAATCTCACTTCTGGGGGGAGAAGATTCCACAAGGCAGGGGCCATGACAGAGAAGCCTGCCTCCTGGGACCTGGCAAATGGAATGCCCTGGCAGGTGGGACCTGCAGCATGCCTTCTCTGCCAGGCCTGATGGGACGGGCAGATGTAATCAGGGAGTGGAGCTCCCTCAGCACCTTGAATTGGACCCAGCAGCAAACTGGAGAACTCAAGATAGCAAACATATTTAATACTCCTGCCTCCTGTTTTTCCCACAGCAACAATCCCTGTGAGATGGGTTGGGCTGAGAGAGAAAGACTGGCTCAAAGTCACCCAGCCAGTTTTCATGCCTCAGGAAGGCCTGGAACTCAGTCTCCTGGTATCTAGACCAGAACCATAACTGGCTTTAACATGGCTGTTATATGTCTTAAGATGACAGATTTTGCAGCATCTCTTATATTTATTTCAGTAATATTTTTAGTGCTGAAGCCAATCCTGTTGATAAGTACTATCCTGATTAAGCACATCTGTAGAGAAGTGATAACTGACATGGTACTTCTGTTTGGAGTAATTTCTCATCATAGTTTTGTCTCAGGCAAAGTTTCAGACACAGGCATCACTATTACTTTTCAGGGCTTACACATCTTTTATAAATTTGTGTCCTTGTTTTGGAGCTTTAAATAGCTCCAGAAGATTACAAAGCCATTTTTCTCCTTTTTCTTACTGTGATGCTTCAATTGTTTTTGAAGGTGGTTGTTCTTTAAAAACTTCAAATTCATTACTTGTATTACAATCATTTCTTAGTTTAAGAAGCTCAATTTTGTATAGCTTGTCTGTACTCTTAGAACTCTAGAATCTATAGAGTTCTGGAAAAACAGAGATTTGCTTTGTGATTTATTAAAAAAGAAATAATACAAATGTTATTAAATAATATCTTCCTCAATGGACCAAAGAAAGTGATACATCTGCAATTCATTGATTTGGTTACTGCCAATTCCAGAATTTTTTTTCTGAAACCAAGTAATGCAGAAACTTCCTTCTTTTCCCATACTCATTGAATATTATTTTTCAGGTACAAGCACTTGTTCTGATGCTTCCTTAGTTATGTTCGTTACCTCTTATTAATCAGTTCAGTATTAAAGAAAAATATAATCAAATAATGATATTGGTTATGATTTTTATAGAAAGCCTTTGAAAAGTTAAGATGGGAAACAAGCATGCATACAGGTAGTCCTTGCTAACGACCACAGTTGGGACCAGAATTTCCATTGCTAAGCAGTGTGGTCATAAAGCGAGATGTCACATGACCGCATTGCTTAATGACCACAATCCTGGCACTCCCAGTTGCTGTTGTTAACTGAGAATCATGGTTCGTTAAGCGAGTACCCACCCCAATCCAAGCCATTCCGGGCTTGGTCCTTCCCAGCCCTGAGCCTCAGTAAAGTAAGGGACTACCTCCAACTCCCACTACCTACCTATCTCACCACCATCCCTGCCCTTCTGGATCCTTGCACCCTGCCTTGCAGGGAGGCAAGCAGCCCCAGAATTGTGCAGCTCTGGGGCTGTTTGGCCCACCCCTGGGAAGCTGCAATCAGTCCAGCCACAGTTGCCCTCACCACCCTGCACTCTGAGCCCCCTGCCGCCCTGCTCTGACTTTCACTGTCTTCTTTCTCCAAAAAGTACTTTGCAAAAAGCTCCTGGAGCACAGTGCACCAAAACACACCTTTGCAAAAAGCTTCTGGGCAGGGCTGGGCTGGGCTTTTGCTTTGCACTGCAAAAAAAAGCCAAAAGTCCAGTCCAGCCCTGCCAGAGAGCTATAGCTGGTTCAGTCTACCTGGCGGCCAAAGGCAGGACTGGTCTACCTGCCTTCCCAAGAAAGAGGATCAGTCTACCTGCAGAAAACAAGCCAAAGGGGGTTGTGCAGGCCTGGTCTACCCACCTATCACAGCCAGAGGATCAAAGTTCCTGGAAGCAGGCCAGTCTACCCACAGGGGAAGGGAACAAAAGAGAGAGGGAATAGCGGGGTGCTGCTTTTTTATTTTCTGCAGTGTGAAGCAAAAGCCCAGTCCAACCCCACCCAGGAGCTTTTTGCAAAGGTGATTTTTGCAAAGGAGCTTTTTGGAGCAAAGGATGGCGAACGTCAGCTGGGGTGGCAGAGCGCAGGGCAGCAGAGGGCCAAGAGGGCATGGGGGAGATAGGCAGGTGGGGGGAGTTGAAAAACCCCTGTAGTCGTAAGTGCGGGCAGGCAGCCAAGCACCCAAATTTTGATCACGTGACTGCGTGGGCACTGCAACGGCTATAACTTCGGGCACCAGGTAGGTCACTTTTTTCAGCACATTCATAACTTCAAACGGTCGCTGAACAAATGGTTGTTAAGCAAGGACTACTTGTATATCATCCTTCAGGTATATTTAAGGTACAGTTCTTGGTGCGTCACCTTGCCTTTTTATATATTAGGACCAATTCTTTTTTGATTTACAACACAGAGAAAAAATAGAAAATAATCAGGACATATGCCACAAGTGAGCAGCCTAAGGGCTGTATACAGCAGCTCCATACAGTCCCAGGCTGCCTTCAGTCAGGTGAGCAGGCCAAGAGGAACTGTTTTTTTCACTGGAAAGAAATGGGAAGTAGAAGGGCTGGAAATTGGTGCTTCTGTTGCCATTAGCAATAGAAATGCACTGATTTTCACCTACTTCACTGGGAGAAAAAGAAGGAAGCCTTTTGCTTTCCTGTTTTATTCTAACAAACTGGGCTGGAAATGGGCTGAATTTCCATTTTTGCTGACACTGAAAGAGGAATTTTTCCTCTCCCAGCAGAAGGGCAGGATTTTTATGGAAGTGTTGTTATCCATAAGAGTGTAGGAAGTGATTTTGTTTGTATACTTGTTCCATCCAAACATCTGATGTGACTGCAGAGCTTACATACCCATGGCTTATATAATAAAAAGGTGACAGATTAGAATAAATGACTTCTTAATGAAATCTGAGGATTTAACAAAGACATAATAATTTGAAGCATATTGGGCCACAACTTTTTATTATTAGACCCCTTTGTCATCAATTTACATAGATGAAATAAATATTTGGGAATAGGTTCTGATGAAGATTTATTTCAGTAAGGACTGAATGTTTCTGTACCAGTAGCTGATTTTAATTAAAGTCTCTAATTTCCTCTTTGGTCTCTTCTCCACCTGCCCCTAATTTGTTCACATATGTTCATATCTGTTGCTGATTCTGCGTTTGTGTGTGAGCTGTACATGTACAGAAAGATATTTATATACTGATGCACTTACTTTAAAATATTATTCTTTTATAGTTTGGAAGAACGGAAGTAATTGATAATACTTTGAACCCAGATTTTGTAAGAAAATTTATAATGGATTACTTTTTTGAGGAAAGACAGAACCTGCGATTTGACTTGTGAGTTTACTTACACACTTGGATTTTGATAATATAATAGTGTATTGATTTATCAGAATAGTACAAATAACTATAGTACAGAGTTTTTCAGGTAACTATTAGAGAAGTCATATTTTATTATAGCAGTTTAAACTGTAATGAAGTTCTGAATTCATTTTTTAAAAATTTAGACTGCAGTAGAAATCTTATGTGAAAAATTGTGTTCTAAAATCCCAGTTATCACTATTTTATTGTATACTTCCAGGTTAATATAAGTGTAAAAACTGTTCTGTGCCACAGGCAGGGCAGGATGTATCAATTTATCAGAAATTAACTTAAACCACAGCAGAAGTTAGTTCTCATGTATCTCATAAAAATGTAGCAGATAAAATACACACTTAATGAAATCATATGCTCTCCATAAAGATGCCTAAAGTACTCACCATGGGTTATCTAATGTTGACTATATCCAGTGTATTGTACTTATATTTTTCTAAATACATAATATCTATATTTTTCCAGTAAGACATTTATGGTTTATGGATATCTTTTATCACTTTGTTTAAACTTGTAAAGAACAATCTAATATTCTGGAGAAAGCTTAGTATAATCAAAGGTAGCTGTGCAAAATCAGCAATTTGTAAATGGGTTTCTTATGTTGTTGTTTAGTCGTTAAGTCGTGTCC